TCCATGCTCTTAGTTTAACTTGCGTGATTCGTGATATGTGCATCGGTTGTTGATAAAATAGAGTATCCTTGCTACCCACTACTGTGGTCGAGACCAGCTAGGTGGCAGGACCTCTCGATTACGCAAAGGCTATTGGCTTCGCAACACCGAAAATGAAACCCACAAGTTGGATGATCCTTCATGCACTTCTCAACAATATTTGTGAGTCAGTGAGTTAACACAATCAGCTCCCTATGGCTCCCTTTGTCCGTAGATCAGTAACCGCAATCTCTTCCCATCTCTCACCGCCACATCTGGAGAACTTTGCATTCGAAGGCTCATCATGGTCATTCTCTTACTCATAAGTGGCTGGACAGAGCGCAAATAACAAAGGAAGAAATGTTGTAGTTTCAAAATACTCATATTCTCTTCAATAATTTTAGACGATTTTCTAAAGGCCCAACAGTGAGTTGCAAAGCAGGATGATAGAAGAAGTATGAAGACAGCCTATTCTGATCATTTGGCGCACGCAGACCTCGAGTAAACAAAGCGTTGCAAAGACAGACGATTATAGATGCTACCGGCCGATCATCCCGATCGTCGATCTGTTAAACTGGTCATCCCGAGTTCGTTGGGCTAACACTTCATATTTAACGTTTAAACCTCTTAGTAGGGTTTTGAAGATGAGAATAAGTACTACTTTTGTGACGGTAACAAGAAGACCTGATTCAAACGAGGGCAAACCTCAGTCAGCAGATCTCAGTGTTACGAAAAGAGAATTGGAGAAGAGGCACGTTAAAAATCCAGTTCGGAAGAAACTCAATTTCTGACGGAAAGGATTTAGGCTTTAACAAATAACAATTAGGTTGAAAGGAATTAAGTCTGATCGTGAGCTGTGACAAACGGATTAGCTTTGCTGTACAGTTCACACCAACCTCCGCAGTGTAAGAAATTCGTTCACTCTACCTTCTTTGGCCAATGAAGACCACTTGACAACTTTGATGTCTTAGCTAATTCTCCAGCATGCGGTACTATTTGTGTAGTAACAAACTTCTCGTCTTGGCAGTACTTCATTGTAGCATCCTGATTCCTTTCCTGTGAATGGATATAATTTGCAAGGATCCTCAGTATGGCTGGGGTAGAAGAGCAAGCATCCACGGATTGGCGTTTTGTCCACATTCACGGTAGCCCAGCTTCTGTGGGAGCTAATAATGAACCTGTTTTCTGCTTCAATAAACATCATAACAACGCATTCCACGAAAAATCAAGTGCTTAGACCCGTATGATGGCCAGTTGACTTAGAATAAGCAAGTCATTTATTTTGTTTCGCTCGAAGTGAAAACAAAAGCGTAAAAAGTGGGCAGTAGAACTGCTGAGTCATCAAATAAAGTTCAGAGCCTTAATGTCAAGGGTGACACTATTGAACTAACCATATCCTTCATTTGATCATTGGCAAAATGAGAAGGTGATTTTGAACTTTCACAGAGCCGACAATAGGAGAGCGTGTGTGTCTCGTCACAAGACATTCGTTTCACAAGGCAAAAAAGTGGGTGACTTGTAATGCTAATGTAGATGGGCTGACTTTCTGCTAATACAAAAGCTACACTGTCTAGGCTTCAGCAGCAACAGGGAATGAAAAATAGCCGCGATAAGGGCACATCAGCAATAAAAAGGCAAACAATTAAGATCGAATTGTCAAGAAAGAGCGAAACCCCTACATTTGGCAACAATATCGTGTAACCTTTCACGAGCTTCCAGCATTCACTTGTCGTTAGACTAATAAAAACTTCATCCAGGACTACGTCATCGCATGCCCACGCAGACGAGGATACTGGAGGGACAAATAAGCACATGCGAAACTCGTTTCAACTCACCGCAATGACACCTCGCCACGGAAGTATTCCAAATTTTAAGACACCAATTTGTTGATACAGCGCTCCTTTTTTGCGCTCTCCCTCCATCACAAGGAGGCATTGATCAAAGCGGCTGAATGTGCTTCAAATCTGCCAGATTTGCAAGACCAAGGCAAAAGAGGTGTGTACACTACTGAAGAACGTGTAGCGAATTAATCCGCCTTATTCTAATGAAGCCTCGTATTCAGGAAAGTCTTTGGCGATAGAAGAAAAGGAACTACTACTGTGCACGAGATCACAAATGGGTCTTCGGAAACAAGCAAATCATCCGCATCAACACTGGTTCACAATCCAATGCTTGCCAGTTGAGTTGCGAGGAGTAGTGGTTTTGACAATATCAGCACTTACTACGCATAGAAAGGCGTCGCCGATAAGTTCAAGGAATTTTACCTTTAATAATTTGCCTGTTAATAGCGCAGGTTAAGTCTTAAAAGCACATAAAATGGCACTGATTGCTGCATTTTTTTGCCTGCAGTGAGCATTACAAGTGAAAGTATAAAATTCAGAGCGATGCTTAGACGATACCAGTCCTCTAATCATCCTAACTTCAGATCTCAATACACTGTGTGAGGTCTTCCATGCCTTGACTGTCTCCTTAATGATTTCTGTAGAACTTTCGGCTTCGTGTTTCTAGCCCAAACTGTCTCGCATAAAATGGAAACTCACGCAATGGAACGACAAACTGCAGACCCCATTCACAGTATACAAACAACTCAATTTGCCTTCAAGCGAAAACACACACACAAGTTTTGTCAGATAATGTGTGAAAATTAAAATCGTTTCCAGATTGGTGACATCAAACTCGTCCAATTATCACGCACACTAATTCAACTGACACCTCACTCCATTAATCAGTAAAAAAAGTGGTAAATAATTAATTCGTACCGAAGTCACGCGCTGAATCTCTCATTCACCCAAACATACGCCAAGCCCTCCCATACGGTGTAAGAACGCAATCGTTATTTCATTGCCGGCTGCGGTTCGTACTCAAAATAGCATTGGAACCACAGCCGTTTGTTTCAGTCGACAGCACACCGAGTAAGGCTTCCAAACGTGATGAAAGTTGATAGAAAAGCACGGGCATGAAGCACAGCGCACACCGGCTACCGAAAACAGTTGCCTCCATCTTGTGAGCTCAAACATCAAATTAAGTTAATGCATCAAATCAAGATGAATCCTGAGGTTTATTAGCTAATTTTACAGTTTTTCACTACGACAAGGGAATTCTGTCGAACCCAACAAAACTCGGCAAGACGTTTGAAACCGCCATTTTTGCTCAAAGTCAACGTTGTTGAATTTTCCATCTCAAATTGTATCTATTGCACTTGCTAAGGTGATGGCTCGAAGTTAAATGCGGCCTTTCCCACAACAACTGATATGGAATCCCGTTAGCTTTCTTATTCGTACTTTTATGCCGTCATTTATCAAAGTAATGGAATCGGAGACCGAAAGCTTGGGCGTTTAGAATTCCACTACCCCACCATTTTTCACAGTGGCCAAGCTTTATGTTACCTTATTGTTCCCAGCGCCACAGTTGCGCAACTTTGTGTACCAGTGGCCGGAGGTTGGTGCGAAAAAGATCAACCAATCAGCTCTCCCTGTTTACGTAGATCGGCCATTATTTCAAACGAGCATCCTTCTGGGCTGTTCACTTCCGTTTCACTCAGATTGCCAACTTAAAAACTAATCAAGAGTTGTCAGTGTTGTACTTAGCAACAGTTGAAGCCTCTGATGTGCAAAGTTAGGCAATTTATTTAAACTGGAGACGGCTCTGTATTAAATAGAGAGAAGGCCTCTTGTTTTCCCTTGATTATAATTTAGAAAACCATTAGATACTGGTCCCGATCAAGTCATCGAAAAAGCGGATTCAATGTCAGCCTTAATAAAAAGTGGTCTTCACAATACGTTTGCCAATATAGCCAGACATATGCGAGAAAAGAATAACCTCAGAATAACCTCAGAAACGAAGAAGAAAGAAACCCATCCAAGAGAATATGTCTAATTAGGCCT